TTTTTTTTTTTCTTTTTTTTTACTAATGTTTATCTAAGGACTTGTCTGACAGTTTTTCTGCAGGCTATCATGTAGCGCATCATAATAGCCAAAATTAGCTTTTGTCTTTCTATTTATATATGTTCTTTTAGAAGTTTTTGTCAAAATACTGTCAATTGTAATAGTGTTTTATTATTAAGTCATATGAACTGTAAGAAAAATGTGCCCCCATCTCCTAGTTTAAGGTCCTCCATTGGTTCATTATTCTGCAGAAATCACTACTGGGGACATTCATTATTTGGTTCAAATGCATTACACCTTTGTTGATTGTTGTTTTATTGAGATACATATCTCTTTCCATAGCCCTTGAAACTTGGACAGGAAAGGGCACTCCTCAATTCCTTTGATTCTTAGAACGCTGTGAATTAGTCTTCTGCCTGTTGATTATAGATTCCTGTATAATCGTGAGTTGTTGCCTGCATTATTTAGGTTATGATGAATAATATTTGTTGCTGTTATGGTTGTCTCTGGAGCTGCCTAAACTTCGCCCAGAAAGATTTAAGTCCAGCCTCACATTGGAGATACATGTTGAGGAAAAGTGAATATATTATGCATGACATCTGGATTTTTTTTACAGAAATTGTTATTGCTTCTGCAGTTATTAATCTCACTTGCATAAAATTGTTAAAAAATATATTGTTAGTCATCTATAATGATTTGTGCGTGTTCATTGCAAATGGAGCTGGAAGAGTCATTGTTGACAATTCTCCTGGCATAGTGCTAATAATGGACTAGATCAAAATGACTCAATTAAATTCTAGTGCTTCTTCTATTAGTGAAATTTCTAGAAAAAAAAAAAAAAAAATATCAAATGGTGCAATGCACCTTGGGTCGCTACGGAAACAGCCTCCTTGTAAAATTATAAGGGTAAGGTCTGCGTACAACTGACCCCCCAGACTCCAACCTGTTGGGAATATACTGGGTATGTTGTTGTTGTTGTTGTATCTATAATGATTTGTGCTGCGCAGTAAATGATATGCCCTAGTGCTGGATTTTTGTAGAGAAATTGTTATTGCTTCTGCAGTTATCAATATTGCATAATGATTGTTGCAAAATTTATTGTAAGTCATCTGCAACCGTGGGGTTGGATCAAACACATGTTCATATGGGTATGTGTGATCACTAATTATACAATTAAAACCTTCGTTCGCAGTGAATTGAACTTGCCGAGAAGTGTCATGCATGTTGTCTCTATTGTAACAAGTGTTAGAAACCAGGTATAAAAATTACACGGGAATCCTACGAACTGATATGTATTTTTCAGTTCTTACAAATAATCTAAAAAATAGAAAATTACAATTGAACTGAAAAATAAATTACAATTGAAAAATCAAAATGGAAAGATTTTAGCCGAGGCGAGTAAAACTCTTTCCGCAAGAAGAATACGCCCCGTGTGACAGCTAATGGTTCAGGCGTAACTTCTCCAAAGATACAATGACAAACGTCTCTAATTCTGTAGCACACTTGATTTACGAGCTCCGGCGAACTGGAACAGAATCGAGAATTGAGCACTAAAATAAAAATATATCTTATATCTTTTTTTTTCTTTTTCTTTCCTTTTATCCGTTTTTTTTTTCTTCACTTTTCTTTCTTCTCTCTCTCCCTTTTCTTTTTCTCTCCTTTTCTCTTCTTCTCTCTCTTCCTTTTCTTTTCTTTCCTTCCCCTTTCTTTCTCTGTCTTTTTTCTCCAAATGAGATGATCCTTTTTTATAGATACAAAAGTAATTGGTGTTGTGGACTTCATTAATGAAATAGTTGCCACACTCAACCACATAATTAATTTACAAGAGATGCCCGACACATTAACTGGGGAAGGTTGGAAGTTGATGTAATATTAGGAGGAACAGTAGGAAGAATATTAGTTTAGCAAATTAATTTAAAACTCAATGATTAACAATCCCCCACATGAGTGTAAATTAAATATATGCATACTAGTGTGCTCATCCTCACAAAACTCTATTGTATCAGAAAAGGTAGCTTTTGACTTTGAACCTTTCTTAGTAAACATCATCGGATGCATAGGCGGACTAGTGGACATAATGCCTTGAACTATTCCTCCATAGTGTACACCGAGACAATGACATTCACACAATAAAGTCTTAACTCCATTCCGTTCTATAGTTGTGTCCGTTTTGGCCATGGACAACACAATGGATTCATAAGTGTTTAAATTTGAAGCGGCTCACACTTCACACTTATATAGGTGACCTCCCTATCAAGAATATCTTGTCATACTCCACCTTTACAAGGTTAGGGATTCATTAAAAGTCCATATGACTTACCCTCACCACAATCAACATGTCATCTTTCACTTGGAGTGCTCTAGGGAGTAGCTTTGAACATTCATATGTTCCAAGTGCTCAACTGAATTTTCATAGCTTAGTTTTTCCTTTGAACCAAGTTCGTGGGATCTCCACTCAGCATGGTAGGGTTACCACTATGATCATTCTTTTCATTGTGGATTTTTAAGCCCATTCCCTCTAGCAAAACTACCAATTGATCTCTGTTCAATCCTTTCGTCAAAGGATCAGCCAAATTTTCTTTAGACTTCACATAGTCAATGGAAATAACACCATTTGCGATCAATTGGCGTACGGTATTATGTCTACGACGAATATGTCTAGACTTACCGTTACACAAGTTGCTTTGCGCCCTATCTATAGCAGCTTGGCTATCACAGTGAATCATCACAGACGGCAAAGTCTTATCCCAACATGGAATATCAGATAAAAAAATTCTAAGCCACTCGACTTCTTCACCAGCTTTATCTAAAGCGATGAACTCCGATTCCATAGTTGAACGAGCTATAGACGTTTGTTTTGTAGATTTCCACGAAACTGCACCTCCTCCAATACAGAAAACATATCCGCTAGTGGAGCGAGAATCTCTCGAATCTGATATCCAGCTTGCATCACAGTACCCTTCAAGTACGGCTGGATATCTCGAGTATTTTAGCCCGTATTCAAGGGTGTACCTCAAGTACTTAAGTACCCTTCTCAAAGCATTCCAGTGTTCATGACTGGGATTGCTCGTAAATCTGCTCAACTTATTCACCAGATAGGTCAAGTCTGGTCGTGTACAATTCGCCAAGTACATCAGACTCCCTATTATCCGTGAATATTCCAACTGAGCCACTGATTGAGCTTTATTGGCTACCAGATTTATACTAAGATCAATGGGTGTCTTACACCTAGACTGTGCACCGTCATAGGTATCAAATTTCTTGAGCACTTTCTCTACATAATGAGATTGTGTCAACACAACTCCATCTTGGGTTCTGATAATCCTTATTCTTAGAATAACATCAGCCAAACCCATATCTTTCATGTCGAAGTTTCTTTTCAACATTTTCGTATCCATGATCACTTCATGGCTACTCCCCATGATCAACATATCGTCTACATATAGACATACAATCACAAATGCATTTGATGCACTCTTGACATAAACACATTTGTCACATTCGTTGATTTTGAACTCATTTGATAACATCACGTCATCAAATTTCAAATGCCATTGTTTCGGAGCTTGTTTCAGTCCGTACAGGGATTTGATCAATCTACACACATTTCTCTCTTGTCCAGGTGCAACAAACGCTTCAGGTTGTTCCATGTATATTTCTTCTTCCAATTCACCATTCAAAAATGCCGTCTTAACATCCATTTGGTGAATCTCAAGATTGTGCAAAGCAGCAATCGAGAGAAGCACTCTTATCGACGCTAAACGCGTAACTCGTGAATAGGTATCAAAGAAATCATACCCTTCCTTTTGTTTAAAGCCTTTGACCACCAATCGTGCTTTAAACTTATCAATCGATCCATCAGCTTTATATTTCTTCTTTAGGATCCACTTGCATCCTAAAGGTTTACAACCATCAGGAAGATCAATCAACTCCCAAGTATGATTTCGTATAATGGACTCGATTTCGCTATTTACAGCTTCTTCCCAGAGTGGTCCATCTGGGCTGGACAGAGCTTCCTTAAGGGAACTCGGTTCATCGTCCAACATGTACGTAATAAAATTAGGTCCAAACATTTTCGTCTTTTTTAACCTTTTACTACGTCTCGGTTCTTCATCAGTACCCTTTGGTACAGAACCACTAGCAGTTTCATACATTCGTTTATTAGAACTAGATTCTGCTCTTTCCTTCAGAGGAAAAATATTCTCAAAGAATATAGCATTCCTCGATTCAATCGTGGTACCAACAGATACCTCTGGATTTTCTGATTTATGAACCAGAGATCTATATGCTGTACTATTGTACGCATATCTAATAAATACACAATTGACCGTCTTTGGCCTGATTCTCATTTGTTTTGGTTCAGGTACTGAAACCTTAGCCAAACACCCCACACTTTCAGGTATTTATAAGACGGCTTACGATTTTTCCACATTTTGTAAGGAGTCTCATTTTTTCCTTTAGGTGGTATTTTATTCAGGATATGATTTGTTGTTAAAACAGCTTCCCCCCACATGTTCTGTGGTAATCCTGAATTTATCAACAAAGCATTCATCATTTCTTTTAAAGTACGGTTCTTGCGTTCAGCAACACGTTCGACTGTAGTGAATAAGGGGCCGTCGTTTGATGAATTATGCCATATTCAGAACATATTTGTTCAAAAGGAGATACATACTCACCCCTATCACTTCGGATTATTTTAATCCTTTTGCCGAGTTGATTTTCAACTTCGGTCTTATAGATTTTAAATGCTTCCACAGTCTCGTCTTTGCTTCTTAATAAATATAAGTAGCAAAACCTTGTGCAATCATCGATAAAAGTAATAAAATACTTTTTACCCGTTCTTGTTTGCACATTTTTCATATCACATACATCAGTATGGATTAAGCCTAATGGTTTAG